AAGGAACTGAGATAAGGTGGATGTATTGTTTAATTAAGAGGGTGGGAAGCCCCCCGGCACCTGTGTACAGACACCACACAGCAATTGGCCTCAGTAAACTTGTCAGGACTTCCTATTCAGCTAAAGTTGAACACTCAATTACCTTCAAACAACAACTGTTTTGATTTGTTCTTTAATCAGGGGACCGTTTTTTTGCCGCTGGTCCGTCGTGAATTAGTGAATCTATTTGGTTTTGTTTGACAGTGTACTGAATCCCAGCTGTGTATCATTAGACGTCACCGCACCCTTTTGATAGCAGGAAATAACAAAGGACGGAGCACGACTGGTTTAACGCGACAAGTCTTTCCTGAAGCAGCAGCGACACCTTGAGGTTTACGGTGGAATTACATATACATTTCTAAACTGCTTTCTTTTGTTCAGGATGAATTAAAAATAGTTATCCAATCACATCATTCTAACTGTGAGAATAACGGCGTTCACCAGTTTTGATGCTCACATAAGGATGAAGCTGTTATATCGTCAGCGGCTACTCTCAGTACAATCACCACTTTGTCTCTTTTTCCTATTTCTTAAATTTGACCAGCAGGTGGTGCCACAGCATTCGACATATGAACAATAGCTGTGATGGAGTTTCTTTAATCAGAGCAGTAGCGTCCACGCTGAGCTCCACGGACCACCGACTGTCCTTAGAACGTCTCCAAGAGGTCTCTGTCGAAATGTTGGAAAGCTAAGGGTAATTAACTGGAAGAAAGTGTCAAAGTAAAAGCAGCATCTATGTTTGACCCAATGGGGCCTTATGATAAAAAAAAATACCTAAAAACTATTCAGGTAAATGGCGCTTTTTAAATTCTGCAGAGAATAGTGGAGTTTTCCGAGCCTCGTGGCAGCAGAGGTGAAAAACATGTTGTCGCGCGCCTTTATTTATGGATCTGCCTGCCAGAGTCGTGGCTGCCCCGGGCACTTGAGGATCTACGCGGGGTGCAGGAAGTGTCATCCATGATGGCTGATAATGTGGGCATCTTGTTTTTCTGTTGGAGGAGACCAGAGATTCTCACACGGTTTGCTGTTGGATTTTCCTGTAACCAAGGATGTTTTTCACGGCCCTAAAAACTAAAAAGCTCACGTTCTGTTACTGCTGTCGTCAGTCTACTTCCTCTAACAGTTTCGTCCCTCCCTGATCTTCATCTTCTGCTTATTCTGTCCTGTTCTCTGTCCTCTGTTCAAAGACCTCTTTATGTCATTCAGTAGTGGCTTTAGTTCAGGCAGAGCACAGAACTTGTTGGACAAACACTACAACTCCCGACGGACACCAAATTTTTAAGGTTACGCATGGTGGAGTTTGTCAGTGGCCGCGTGCTTTTCCAATTCCATTCCATTGAAGGATCCTCCCAAAGACTCATCTGGTCATCTAGTTACTGTCTTTGTGGTTGCAGGTTGTTTCAGTACCAGGGACTTCTATCCACACACACATCCTACAGTGACAGTGATTAAAGCAAATATTTTAATCCTTTTTTAATTCATTTCATCTAGACCATTTTTTTCAAATATTCATAGGAGCAAAAGCTTTGGAGTGTCCTTTGTGGAGACTAAAACTCAGAAAATACTTTGACTATACCACAAAAAGAAATCCTTGCATAATGTGTTACCAAAAAGCTCTGCGTTGTGTTGCATCGATGCATCAAAGCCTTGCGAGAGCCCAAACAGTGATGTTCCTGTCAGACAAAAGCAGAAAAGTTCACTGGGATGCCGCGTGTTCTTCTGTGCTTCAGCTGGACAGAGATGACAAAGTGCGACTCGCCATCTGTAAGGAACATACATCACAGGCGCTCCGCATCCTCCTCTGTGGCCGTATCTATTTTAGCTGAAGAAAGAGCGGTTTGTTGCCGGCTGCACCTGTCGCCTCTGCTGGATTTGAATATTTTTGGTGGATTTTTCCGCTGTGATATAAAGAATGTGTCCATGGCGTCTACTGTTAATGGTGTGAGTTTGGTCACCTGATTACTGTCACATTGGTTTTCATTGGTTTTCATCCAAACACAACTTAGCGCTGCATGTTCAAACTAGAATTTGACCTTTCGATCCCGTCTCCTTTCTGCTTCTCTTTGTTTTTGTTTTCCTTCTCAGGCAATTTTCCCTTTCCATTTCTCAAACTCTGCCTGTCTGTCCTCCATCTTCTTGCCAAAGAGGGCCTCTAATGTTACTCCTCACTTCAAGACAGACGTCCTCCAGGACCTTCTTCTGGTCCTCCACGCGTTTTGGTTCCTCCTCCGATGGTTCGTTCCTGGCCGGCTCTGTTAAACTTTCCCCCCAGAGCTTTGTGGTTTGACTGCCAAGCTTTCATTGTGGACTCCAAGCTCGGTTCTTTCTTCTCCAGAGTGTCATATTTTTCCTGCCAGGCTTCATTCCTCTGAGGAAGTTCAGTTTGTTTTTCTGCTCAGCCGGTTTTTGGTCTGTGTGAGGTTCTCAGAGAGACTGTCCTTCTTTTTATTGAGATTCAGGATCTCATTGTCCCCGTGTCTTTGTCTCTGTCTCTGTCCAGGTCTTTGTTGAGTCTGTATGGAGTCTGTGCTTCTATTAATTGAGATCCGGGATCTTTCTGCTGAAGCTTCTTTTGGCACCCAGCTACAAATATGACCGAGTGCTGTTGCTGCAGGCTCAGGTCATTACTTCTGGTACTCTCTGCTGCTCAGCCCAAGAGATGTTTTATCTTTGCCTCAAAGGTTGAAACTATCTTGTTGAACTTCTGGTTTCTGTGGCTTTGGGCATCTTCCATCTTTTCCTTTTGGAGGTGGAGATTACGTAGCTGCTTGTTCGTAATGCAATGAACAGTTTTGGGGGAGATCTTGGATGGTCACACACCAAACCTGGTGATATGTATTTATATATACCTCTCACCCCAGACAAAAACTGTTTGTGCCCCTTCCATCTGGCAGGAAGCTGAGGTCCATCAGGACTAAGACCTCCCGCCACACGAACAGTTTCTTCCCGTCGGGCAGTCGGGCTCATCAACAGAGCCCGGTCCCCCACTGACTGACTATAACACTCCACCGGTCACTCCCCTTCACACTGCACATGTCATTTTAACTGTCATTTATCACTTTGTCGTCACTCGTCACTTTGTTACTTGTTTGCTCTTTATGCCTAATATATATATTTTTTGACTTTTTTTAATATTCAAAATGTTTAACTTTAACTTTATTCCCTTGTTTTATACTAACCCATAGCCTTATTCTACTAACCCATTGCATTAGCATTTCATTTTACTTTATTACTTGTGCTCTGCTGTCTTGTTGTCTATTGTCACACTGTCGCGCACCAACCGCCAAGACAAATTCCTTGTATGTTTGACATATTTTGGTAATAAATGTTTCCTGATTCCTGATTATAGATATAGATACATATATATATATACTATATGTGTACTGTATGTCTGACTGGAGCACATAAATGTTAGTCATCATCATTTTTCTTCCAGTCCTTTTGATCCTGATTCTTTGGGTTGCGCATGTGTGTGTGTGTGTGTGTGTGTGTGTGTGCAGGTGTGGGTGTGTCAGTGTGTGTTTGTGTGTGCGTGTAAAGAGTAGCTGTCTTCTGCTCTCAGTTGGTGAAGACTATGTTCAGTGTCGTGGAAGACGTGGGGAGATGAGATTGTAACCAACAGTGTAACCATGGATGAAAAACGCCACAGAGATACCAGTGTGAGCACGTATCAAAATGCAAAAAAACATTATTTAATTTATTTAATTAACATAAAAAAATATATAAAAATTTCTCTCACTTGGATGTTTTGGATGACAGCTGTTTTGAACCACGTTGTGCGTATCATTGCAACTAACATGAATGCTAATTTATGCAGCCAAAGTGGAGCAGTGATGTTGTTCAGCTAATGCTTGAGGTCTAGCACAAACCTCTGAGGGCAAAGGGGGAAAAAAAGCCTGAATGAATTGCATGCCGGCTTGAATACAGCCTTCATCCTCTCCAGCATGAGCCACAGGCAGTGTCCCCGATGTGCCTGCTCTCATGTGAGCGAGAGCCGAGTGGGGAGGATGATGATGATGATGGATGTAGCTTCACGAGGACACAACAATATACCAAACCATTCTTGACATGGTTCCACGTGGGCGCTACCGCATCATGTTGATACAGGAATGACAGGTCTCCTTCTTTTACCTTGTGCTTTATCACTAAACAGACAAAAAAGGTCCCATTCAACATGTGCCACCAGTTCAGGCGCTTCTATGTGTGATGGATGGAAACCAGATAACTGCATCTGCCACCGTGAGAACATGCCCGATCCCATAGGCAAATATGTAGAGTGTTACGCTAATTGGTAAGCTATCTGCTTGGATATGGAGGAAGGAGGGGGTTGGGGGGGTCAATACATATCCTATTATAAGCATAAGCACACAAGGCAATGCCATTATGTATTGGATGATATGATTAGTATGGCTGTTCTGCACAGACCATAAAAGCACTTTAGTGCAGCTTTTCAAGAGCTGAAATGGGATCAGTGTGACATTCTTTTTTAGAAAAAATATATTCTGACTGAATCAGTAACCATTAAAACTATACAGCACCTGACTGGCGGAAGTGATTTTGGCACCTGCAGGTCACCGTGTGCACTGACTGTGCAGATGTTTCCAGAAATAGCAGCTGGGATATGAATAAACATGCTCTGGAAGTGGAAACATTGGGGCCTTATACATCGCTGTAAAGGCCAATCTCTTCCGTGTTGGTTTGGTTTCCAGTATTAATAAAACAGACCGTCTGAACCGCTGAGCACGGATATCATTGATATTTCTTTACTGACGGGGGGTCAACGTGTTTTCGGGGGGGGGGGGGGTGATATCTTTCGATGCTCCGGCGAGCTGATTCCTTGTGCTTGGAATGACATCCTCCCAACCACGGAGTTAAGCGCGCGTGCGTGTTTGCGTTCACGTGGTGCGAGAAAGAGCGCGCGCGCGCAAGAGAGAGAGAGAGAGAGAGAGAGAGAGAAAGAGACGGCGAATAAGCAACTTTGTGGCCGGGCATAACTGCGTCTCCCCCGGCAGCGCGTGGTAACAGAGAAGCGTTTGACAGTTTGCGGTTGATCAGCGTTTTGTTTCATCCGAGCCGACGAACCACAAACACAAGCGCGCTGAAAACACATCCTCTTTTTTTTTTTTTTTTGCTTTTGCCGGATTAAATATAAAAGATGCGCTGAATTACCCAAACGAGCCCACCTCTTCACCGCCGCGCGCGAGGTATGTATTTCACCCGCGACTCAGACGGAATCATGCCGGCTGTGACTGACGAGGCTGTGCGCTGTGATGCGGAGGCTCAGCTAACCTTTAATTTACATGTCATTAAATTCAAACCAGCGTTTAATTACGCGTTGATGTCTTCATAATTAAACGCGATGTGGCTTCCGCCCCCCCTCCCCCCCGCAGCCTTCAGTCTGTTGTGCGCTCATGTCTCTCTTTGACCTTGCTTTTTTGTTGTTGTTATTTACATAGCTTGAAGGAGTTGCTTCCTATCCTGCTTTGTTTGAGCCCTTTTAACAGAGAGAAGTTACCCACTGGCAAATAGCAAATGAACCCTTGACTCATGCAGGCTACAGCTTCTTGTGTGGAAGTTGCTTTCATTGCTGTCTGCTGCCTGTTTTGACATGTATTGTCTTTTATTTCTAGATGACATTGAGGACACCTTAGCGGGACTCGGACAACATTTCACAGGAAAATGCATCTTTGGATTTCATATGTTTTGCTAAGTGCAATCTCAGTGGGCACTGTTGAGATGTTTGGCAGTTACGGGGAAACATGTCAAAGACTGTGTGCCTGCGACGAGAGAGAGGGGATACTCACCGTGAGCTGTGAAAACAGAGGAGTTGTAAGTCTCTCAGACATTAAGCCAGTGTACTTCTCACAGTATCATCTGCTGCTTACGGGCAATCTTTTGAAAAAGCTGTCCGTCGATGAGTTTGTTGAGTACAAAGGACTTACCATATTGCATTTGGGAAATAATGAAATATCTGAGGTTGAAGCAGGAGCTTTTAATGGACTTCAGGGATTAAAACGATTGCATCTCAACAATAACAAAATCGATGCCTTGAAGGAAGAGTTTTTCTTTGGCCTTGAAAGTCTGGAATATCTGCAAATTGATTATAATTACATAACTCACGTAGCCCCTAATGCCTTGAGCAGACTTCGAAATCTGGAGGTCCTGATTCTCAATGACAACTTAATATCTAGTCTGCCGGTGAACATTTTCCAGTATGTACCCTTGACTCATTTGGATTTAAGGGGGAATCAGCTCAAAGTGCTTCCCTACTCAGGTCTGCTGGAGCACATGAAGAGCGTCGTGGAGTTACAGCTGGAGGAGAACCCGTGGAACTGTTCGTGTGAGCTGATAGCACTTAAAACGTGGCTCGAGAGCATATCGTACACAGCGTTGGTGGGCGATGTTGTTTGTGAGTTCCCTTTCCGGCTTCATGGGAGGGATCTTGATGAGGTTTCAAAGCAGGAGTTGTGCCCGAGGAGAGCCATTGCTGAATACGAGATGCCCCCCCTGCCACATTTGAGCACCGATGCATACCGCAGGACCGCGCCAGCTCCAGTCACAGCCTCATTTACCTCGTCTGGGATTGCCCGGTCCTCATCAAGACCCACTAAGGGACCTCGCCAGTCAGGCAAATTAAAATCAAGGCCCACTGCTCGCGTCCCGTCTAAAAAAACACAAAATTATGGGCAAATTATTTCATATCAAACCAAGTCCCCTGTGCCTTTAGATTGCCCGACTGCCTGCACCTGCAACCTTCAAATTTCAGACCTCGGCCTGAATGTGAACTGCCAGGAACGAAAGATCGAATACATCTCTGATTTAAATCCCAAACCGTACAATCCTAAAAAGATGTATCTAACAGGGAATTATATCCCGGTGGTGCGTCGATCCGATTTTATTGAGGCGACTGGGTTGGATTTGCTTCATCTTGGTAACAATCGAGTATCTCGCATACATGACCAAGCTTTTGGCGATCTGACACATCTAAGAAGACTTTACCTCAATGGGAATTTGATTGACCATCTAACAGCTGACATGTTTTACGGACTGGAGACTCTACAGTTCTTATATTTAGAATACAACATCATTAAAGAGGTTGGTTCTGACACCTTTCAGCACGTACCTAAACTTCAGCTGCTCTTTCTGAACAATAACCTCTTGAAAACGTTGCCCGTGGGAACATTTAATGGCCTGTCATTAGCCAGGCTCAACCTTCGTAGCAACCATTTGCGATATCTCCCGGTCCGCGGCGTGCTAGATCAGCTTACAGCACTGGTGCAAGTCGATTTATTTGAGAACCCCTGGGAATGCTCTTGTAGCATCCTGGAGCTGAAGACGTGGCTGGAGCTGCTTAGCACGGGCACGGTGGTGAACAATGTCATCTGTGGTTCACCCAAAAGGCTAGCTGGAGAGGACATGAGATACATTAAGACGACAAATCTTTGCCCCAATAACTCTGACACACTTGCCTCCGTCATCCCACCCTCTGAAGAATCTTTCCCTGGCAGCACCATCACTATAGAAACATCCTTGGACTCTGACGTACAATTCAGCGCCATTCCTTTATCCGTGATGATCCTTGCCCTTCTCCTCATGTTCATTGTGTCCGTGTTTGTGGCTGCAGGATTGTTTGTGGTAACGAGAAAGCGACATCAAAAGTGTCAAAACGAGCATAATAACTCCATGAACGCTTGCATTAGCTCTCTTAACATTGAGTATGGTCTCTACAAAACGGGATCCATTCCGAAAGTCAGAACGTCTGCTGGACGTGTTTACGAGTACATCCCACAACCCATGGAATCCGCAGGCAGAACCACAGTCCAGAGCCCTACGGACAGCCGATCGGCCGATGGGTTCAGGGACTTCGATGAACTGAGCGGCGCTTTTCTGGGTAACTCGGACGAAGAGGCAGCAAGTAACGCCATAAGCTCGGAATACAGCGTCACCACCCCAGAGCCTCTTAACAAGACCTCAACCCCTCACCAGGACGACCAGTCTTACTACCGAGATGTACTGGAGCCCGACAAGCACACGTGCCACAGCAAGACGCTACCATGCAGGCATGCGGCGCATTTGTCGAGTCCGTATGCCTCTGACTTTGATGCCAGGCATCAATACGTGCACCCAGAAAGAATACAACAGACGATACTCTATTGTGCGTCACCAAGTACTGTGTACGTGGAGCCCAACAGGAGTGAGTACTGGGAGCTAAAGGCAAAGCTTCATATCGATCCCGATTACCTTGAGGTTCTTGAGAAAAGAACAACATTCACACAGTTTTGAGAGACTTGAAACATGTGATTCATTTTTATCAGGAATCAAACCATGTTCAAAAAAACATACCGTGCTCTTTCATCACCCTTGTTAGTACAATGAATTGTGAGGGACATTATGTATTTCTGGGAATCGTGTGTCACGAGGTTGACTAATAAAGGGGAGTGTACTCGTTTTAAAGTAGCACTTATCCCTTTACCCCTGTGGTGTAGAACATTGTGGTTTAAAATTGTTAATATGAACAAACAAACAGATGTTCGGGGCTCTCATGACTCATCCCAACATAAAAAAAATATCCTGGAGGTTTTTCAACAACAAAATTGTGAGCTTTGAACTCTCAAATTAGCTGTATTTCATGAGGGTTAATGAAGTGTGCAGATGATATGTTGTTATCCCCAAATAAGCCAGGTTTTTGTTCCATTTTTAGGCCTAGATTCCAGTTCTGTCGAATTTATTCAAGACTAAACTCACACATGAGATTCAATCAGTGCATTCATGAGTAAGCGTGAATCATACCTGTGTTCAAGTGTCGACAGAATTCACACAAATTAGGAAATTGTGCTCTGGTGAAAATTGGTCTTTTTTTTTTATCAAATTACGGGTTGTTTTTATCGAGTATGCAGAGCTGTGGGAACCCTAGGGTTAACCCTAACACTAACAATCTCATTTGAGCTCAATAAAACTGCTTTCTCACTCACAGATCTAAGGGTAAATGAATTAGTATCCTAAAAATATGCTAAACAGATCTAATCTGTGGTGTTTCCTCACAGCCTCCCCAACTCTAAACTACCTGCTTTGACTGATTAATGAAACATGTTGCAATTTTATGTAAGATATGAATATCAATGTATTTTACCTCTACTCACAAACATTGCAACTAAAAGATTAGAATCACAGCGCTATTCCAGTGTAATGTAACAGACAGAAGATGTATTTATCATATATTTTATCGTCTATCATACTTCACAGATGCAAAAAGTGATAGCGCTTATAAATGTATTATCACCAGATCCACAACCCTTAACACAACAATCAGCTCCGTATGGATCCAACGCTTAATAATTCAGAGGAGTGCATCAAAACACATCCCCGTGTTTCATTGAGAACTTACAACCTCTTTTCTTTATATGTCTGCATCCACACAAATTGTCTTCCAGTTGCAATGCATTTGAGTAGATGTGCAATACGCGGTATGGGTATAATACATCAACTTCTATTTGGAATTCAGATGAATTTAAGCCAAACATGTTGGCCTTGTGGCCCTGATAAAACATACATTAAATGACTGCATATTTTTATAGAAACAAATATGGGTATTCTTTGTTTTCTCTTTTCTTAAAAATGCACTCGTGACCACAGGTCACCAATGATGTCACTTTCTAACACGTTTATTATGCTAACATGTGCAAATAGCCATACGAGTAGAATTGATTCCTGTATACAAAACCACCACATGTTGAAATATCCTGCACTAAGCATAGACGTAGAGAATACTTGGACAATCTGTGTGAAATACCAACAGCTCATCCCCTCGGACACTCGTGAACGTGATATGACCACATCCCATATGTGTTTATTTGAAATGTTCAACTCGTGAATATTAAGAGGAACTCTTTTAAAACCTCTTGGATAATTTTTTTTTTCAACTTAATTTATTTGTAATTAAATGAGTAGAGGAATAATAAGTGCATGAAGAATAACACCCACTAATTATTTGGCATTATTTGGCATTGTTGGTTCTTATCTGTTTGGAGTAGGGTTGCATAAAATCTGGTGATTTGACTGCCAAAACAGTCGCTTTTTCTGGGAGAGTTTGATGGAGAGTGCAACAAATGTGTGCAGCAAAAACATGAAGGTACGCATGAGATTTAGCCATAAGAAATAAAAGCACAACAAACGAATGCCTGAGCGGATAGAGTTGCGTTTATGCAAGAAGCTCGTCATCAAGTCATAATGCAGTTGAATCAATTTCTGGGTCAATAGCGTATAAGCCAAAAAATCTGAATTTCCCATAGTTTAATACACCGGGTGAACTCGCGTCATCAACTCAAGCAGTATTATGCACAAGACCTGTCATCTTAACTCAGCTAATTAGAGGACATGGGGTATTTGGACGTGGTCTGCATGTCACCATGAATTACACTTCAGCGTTAGTCATGTTGTTTATCAAGTATCCGTCTTTGGTTGGTTGCCTTTCACTTCTTCTAAATTCGTTTTGTGATTATTTTGTCACTTGACCTGTGTCTGCTCTTTGGACATTCGTCATAACCAATGAGATGAAATGGACACAGTGCTGCATGATTTAAACCTGCACAGGGTTGTACTTGGTTACATGTAGTATTTGTTTTTATTAATATATTGCTGTGAAGTTGGTGGTAAAAAACACTGTAAACCTGCACAGACAGACCAACAAATGGTTTTATTGTGAGCGGTGGCCGTCATTCAGTCGTTGTTTCAGTTCTCAAAATAATCTTTTGTTTATGTGTAGTAGATTTTGTGCGACCAAACTAATGCAAAAATATATATTCTGGCAGTGTGTTTGGAGGAAAATTCACCCAAAACGTTAAACTTTTCATTTCCAATGATGTTTATTTCAATTTGTGAGAATCTTGCTCAAACAATTGTGTAATGGAACACTGTATATAACAAACATTTTTTATATGTTTTGCTCATTCTGCTTTTTGTAATCAAAGACCAAATGTTAATATTTGTCACACGTGAAACCGCAAATACTGATAACGCAGAAAGTTTAATTGGAATGTGACTGTCCTGTGTATTTATGCAGTTGAAGAGGAAATCCATTTAGTGTCTTAAATTTGTATTTTTGCTTCTCTTTGTTTTTCTTTGTTTTTCATATGATTCTTTTCTATGTCAACCTCTGATTTGTAAATAGAACACTTCATCAGCATTTCTGTTCAAACTTGCATCGGCTTGGAAAAGCCAAATCCTGGTCTCTCATTGCAGGAACACAGTGCAACTAGGAATACGTGGGGTAAATATATCTACAATGTGCTGTGTCTCTAGTTGTTAGCTGATGAATAAAATATATGTGTTCATTTGGAATACCCTTGTTTTTGCGTTCCCTTTACCCCCCAAGCCTTGGTGTGTGAGGTAAATGTCATAGTGCATATAGGGGAAAGGTTTGAAAATGCTGCACAAAACGCCATTGGCATTTTTAAAAACATTTCTCAAAATTACAATATATAATTCAAATGTCCAGTTTAAGACGTTGTCATAGTTTCATTTATGCAGTTGGCAAATAGAGAAAAGGGCCACGTTGCATAATCAACATTGAGATAGTTACCACGCTTATACATTCTGACAACAACTCAAATAATCAATTGTCTCATGGATAAACGAAATGATGAAATGATTAACTGATGCCTAAAGCGTAACAACAGCTGCACATAGAAGAACAAGCCGATGGCTGTATTACAAAATGTACTTTTAACAAAGACGAGTCTCTTTTACACTATTTAATTCAAAATGTTTCTTCTTGAGCATCTCATGGCAACAAAGGTACAACACAGGATGTATTTGCTGTTTCAATTGCCATGTGCATAGATCTGGGATAAAGTAAATAAGGGACCTAACTGTGAATCATCAACACTTCTGCATGCAGATGCACCAAGACACTCGCAGAGAAACTACAGTATTTGCAAACACAGCAGTATCCTTGAAAACATCCAATTACCTGACACAAGAAAGCTATTTGATGTATTACACCCACGACTGTGAAGCCATTTGTAACTCATCCTTGATGTTTAATTACTCTTTGTTGCACGTCTTTGTACACGTCGAAAGACCAAAGCTGGCACCGACTACATTACCCCGCTTTGCATTTTGGCCTTAATGACAAGGAATGTCCACGTGATAATAAGACAGCAAACCAACAGTGGATCACCTCTTGACTCAATGTTTGTCAGATGGGCAGTGGTATGTTGCTTAGCTGCTTGAAGTACGCAATTCAGCCAGGGAGAGAGAAATTAGGGCAGATCTACATTATGTAAGCTTGAAGAGATGTGTCAGGCAGTGTGAAGACAGCATATTGTGACTGTAAGCATTCGCCAAAGGAAAAAGCTTTACTATAGCTTAAATCAGTCGAGCAAACACAGCAGAAATACCACTGAATCAGAAACCTCTTCGATATGTCTCTGTTTCTTTCATGGCGACTAGCGGAATCTCACATCTGGCAACATATGTATGTGTTCCAGTTGTTACTCTCAGACTGTGTTTCTGTCCCTGAAGCCTTTTCAGTCTTCTGTTTCCATGTGCGGCAATGCTCTGTCTCTCTCTTTCTCACTTTGTGTGTGTGTGTGTGTGAGAGTGGGTGCATAAATCATTGACTCAGAGTGTATTCATGCTTGCCTGAAGGACTTCAGCCGACCAATGAGGCTATACTTTTTCCTATTATTCTGTCTTTCAATGTTTCGTACAACGACAGCAGCCAAATACACGGCTTCAATAATAATTGATGAATGACAGTATGACCATAAACTGTCATTTATATATTATTATTTAAAACAGAAGGGGGATTTGGATTCGGGATGTGCAAAACTTGACCAGTTTATTTGCAACAACTGGAAACAGCATTTGTGAGAGACCCACTAATATTTCTGAGGGCTTATCCAGGCTTATGTCTGCCAACGTGAAAAAAGTGACAAAATCCCTTTTCATCCAGACGTTTATTGTACTACACACTAAACATGAGAATCATTTTTTACACTGAGAAAGAAAGGAAAATCTTTGGTGAAGCTAAATGTTGTGAATACAGTGAATTGATGTTTTCAAGACGCTTTCAAAGCGCTTGAGTGCTGCGTATTACAATGTCAGACCGTAGGCTGCATCCATGATACCATTCTTTGAGGCTTCCTGCCTCCATTCAGGCGATTTTTAATATTTCCCCCCACGCCAAATGATCCACCGTGAATAAAATCATGTCTCTCCACCAGTTAGCGGCACACTGTGCTGCTCATCTGCCGCCCTGCTGAGTCGCTCGTCTTGCATTAACCTCTGTCCAAGCCTGTTATCCACCCACTTTTTTTATCAGCCCATCTTCCTCATGGCACTTCAGCGCATCAAGGGCACGTCCTCCTCTGTATCTTGGCCTGAAGTGTCAATATAACTGCTATAACGGACTGACACGCTTTAGCCCGTCATTTATAGTGCCAACAAACAGGCCTCGGTGGACTGCCGCGTTTATGATTAAGTGTGACTTACATTGCAGCTCTAAATCGGTTTCTTGTCTCACGGCAAGTTTATTTATAAATGCGGCAGACCGGGGTGATCCATTATAGCGCCGTCTCGTCCTGATGTGAAAGAGATGTGACCTGAAAGGGCCCTGTTGGTGTTTTCCTCATTTAGTGGAGAGAGGGGGGAGACAATTCTAACGCTAAAATAAGTGTCCCTCCCAGAGCAATAATGGTTTATACTCAAGCCCAAAGACAGCAAGAGGGGCATGAAATCGTAGTATCATTTTAATACAATCACGCTGAGCCTTGAGCCTTGTTTTTCACAGCTAGACCAACGCACGCTGCTTTATTTCGTACAATATGCTCTGAAAACTCTACACGCCAACAACATGTGACTTTGCTGTGAAGTGTAAGGGGACAATAAAAGATTGCTCATGCACTGTGGCAGTCTAAATTTAAATGCAGCTATTGCTGCACTGTTGCACATTTCCCTCTTCCCTTCTCTGGCCATCTCCTAAAACTGAACCGACAGCTGGAGCGAGCCAACAAACCGCACTACATCTGCCAATGGTTCTTTTCACAAGTAGTATTTTATCTGAGCTGTAAAAAAGGAATAAATGTACTGTTTAAATGTGGTGAGATTTACCACAATATTACCAATATTTTTAAAATCATCTTAAAATCAATTTAACAACAAAATGCAGAACATCTTATGAACGTGTGAGGTTTGAAAGTCATTGTTTCCGCTGCGGCACGGCGTCAGATACACAACTGCAGTTTCAGTATGAATCCTAGTTACGTACGACCACAAGCTTCAGTGCGTCGCAGATGTATTTGTGAGTATTTGTCTCGTGCACAGCACTGTGGACCCACTTTGCTCTTTTCTTAGTTGGTGGCGACTCAGACCCTATTATATTCAAACTTGAAGTCAACTTTTTAAGCAGCATACAGTTCGAGGCAAGACACTGACTTTAAACTTAGCTCTCGTGACAGGCTCAGGGTGCACTGTGGTTCCTGAAAGCACTTTTCCGTGTTTCCGTCCCTCTTTGCCGTGTGCATTCTAGCCACAATGAATTCAGACAGATGGCTAGGTGGGAGTGTTGGGTAACCAACTTCTGGACCCCGGGGAGCACTGGCATGTACAAGCTGTCAAACAAATGTCTTCACCCAGGTTGTTTTGTTGTTATAATATAATGAGATCCCGACTTTGACTTTAATTTTCGCAATTGTTCAGATGTCCAAAAGAAGTGCAATCGCAGTGTCATGGCCACATTCTTGGTTGTGGTTACAAAGTTTATTCATACACTCCCTCATTAATTATATTATTGTCGTGCCAACAGCATTTTCGTGTTCTCTATGAATGCATTAGGGCAACGAGCCCATCATGAATTTGCATAAAGTGAAGTAGCAAATAGGTCATGAATATCATTAATATTTAGAAAGAAGCACTTCAAAGAGCGGTAACTCTATGCCTCAGCGTTTGACCATCCCTATTGCTCCTCATTAACTACTCCGAAAAGCATTATTTGCTGAAGGCTGTGTACTGTGCGCTGGTGGCATTGCATCAAAACAGTTCTTTCAAGTTGTTCCTATTGTTACGTATTGTGCAACTACACAATTCCTCCAAAGCCAAAAGACTGAGGAGACCTGCTAGCATGTGTCAGCTCCGGTAATACTGAGGACGCTCATAGCAATTTATGTAAGACTCCACTTCGGTTCTTCTCCGTTGACTGGATAACTGACAGGCTATTGTTGGTTAACTGCCAAGATTTCCCAAAAGACACGTCAAGCGTATCCAGCCAACCATGTATGCAAGTCTTCACCAGTTTTGACAAGGATTGTTTTTATTTTGTTAAAAACAAAAACATGTCCCTTTGAATTACTTGAAAGATGTCATGTAATATATATATATATATATTGTTACAAGAATTAAAAATATATATTGTTACAACAATTGTATGTGCCTAAGCTAAACCGTTTATTAGTAATGCACAAAACTGGATATATCTAGCAGGTAATCCTTTAAATATTTAAAAGATAATACACTTGAATGTCAACAGATACTCTGTAAATTCGACAGAACCTTTAAATTAAATTACATCATTGCTGTAAATGAGAACGTTTACACACACCTACAACAACATCAACATCCACTGCATATGTTCACATAAAATATATAGAGATGACTACATTACTTGATGCTGATTCCCTGACTGTTCATGCAATTTAAGTCCAAACATTTTCACTTGTCCAGTGAAATCTACTTGACGGATTGGCTCAACATTTTTTATTCTGACGTTCATTGTCTCCTGACTTTCGTCCTGAAAGCTTTTGCTGATCCCCAGATTCTCTTTTCCTCGACATCCATTAAACTTAGGAAACCATCAAATGTTTGTGTGCTTGAATATGACGCAGAGATTGTGAAGACGCTGAACATCAGGAAGCTCAGCATTGAGGCCGGCGTTATCTAGCTTCAACACCCTCGTGCCCGAGAACAGCCTCACATAGCTACAAGCATGACTTCGTCTTGTTCTGTCATGCATTATTTAAACCACATGAATTCTTCATCATATTGTTACCTGTGATCAAAAAAGAATTGTATCAGTGCCATGCAAGGCACCTCCAATAATATATATATATATATATATATAGTGATGTATATACATACTGTATATATGTATACACACGTAGAGAAGGGATGAGAAGTACTGGCTTAGATCTAGATTCACAAACTAAACAAAAACATGCTGAGCCTAACACAAAACTACCGTCTTAGCTGAGGTTAGCACTCTTATGGTTTAGAACACATCCAAAGAGAGCGCCGCCGATCCCTGATGAATCTGTAACGCAGCTGCATCTGCCGCTGCAATG